AGAGAGAGAGAGAGAGAGAGAGAGAGAGAGAGAGAGAGAGAGAGAGAGAGAGAGAGAGAGAGAGAGAGAGAGAGAGAGAGAGACATGTGTGTTGTACACAACCCCGCAAATGGGCCACAAATAAAAGCATGACTGTGCCAGACTGTTTCGTTGGACTTTCAGGTTGAGCCCCGATAGTGTCTGCGCAGGATGCATTTGACTGATGGGTACGTTCTCACCACCTTGCTCAGAGCTAGCGATGCCCCTGAGAAAAGTGGCCGGCTTTATTCACACCATCTCTGCAATTCTCACAGACTGTAGGTCCAAACCCTGGCAAGAATGGCAACATGTGTGTGTGTGTGTGTGTGTGTGTGTGTGTGTGTGTGTGTGTGTGTGTTATGCCCACAACCGCTGTCCGGTCAGGGTAACGACCTTAGATAGTGGAAGGTTGGTAATTTTGTGTGAAAGAAACTAAGCATTATGGCAAAACTCGTATCCTTCCGCCTTCTCGTCTGAGCCCGGTGGCAGTCGGAGAGACTGTCGAGGTTGTCGGGGAGGAGGAGAGGGGGAGAAGGAGAGGGGGAATATTAAAAAAAAAAAAAAAAGCTTAGCAGAATAGCTGGTGTTGCTACTCTTTGAAGAGGAGATCTGCTGCCCTTGTGGCTCGTACAGGTCGGCCCCCGCAGAATTTGCAGCAGCTCCTACTCTTTCTCAAACGATTTCCCCCACGCTTGAATATGGCTGGACACCTGTGCACAAAAACAAAACATAACAGACAACATAACGCACCCCGATCTTCATTGAGGGGTTCACCCATCAAGTGACGTGGACCTGCATCAATGCAACCAAATGCTGGTCGTGGAATCGTCCAAATCCATCTTCGGTCTTTCCTGCTACACCAAATGCCTTGAACGCCGCTATTGGGGAGGGAGGGGGTGTGGGGAGGGAGGGCGGAGCCCCCCCTCCCCCACACTTGAACATAACACCTATAAACGTACCATGCATATGCTGTAGACGAGTGTTGTGTATGGAAGAATATTCTAAGTTTCGGTCCATTTGCTGGTACACACAGACGTTGTCTTTAGACTCGATTGTGTCACTTGGATGTATCTGATCGCACTTAGATCCGTTAATAAAAGAGTCCGAGGGCCTTGCTCCAATACTCTCCAAATGTGTAACATGGGAATGAATCTCCCCGTAGAACATGGAAAGATTCACAGCCATATTATTTGTCTTTTCTGTATGTGGAGAGTAGTGGAGGGGACCCTCGCTGAAACACAAACCTTCGACAAACACTCTCGCTCCTCCTTAAACACCGGTGTTGCATGGGGGGGAAGGAGGTGTGGGGGAGAAGGGAAGGGGGGCGAAGGCCCCCCTCCCCAACACTTGAACGTGATGACACCTATAAACATACGGAACATAACACACAACTGTGCAACCAAAACACAACAAAATACGCAAGCAAATTGATAGTTATTGTGCACAGTCCCCTCTGAAGTGAGGCGGGCAATGTCGAACACCGACAAATGAACGAATGTTCAACATGGACAAATGAACGAAGTGCCAAATGCTGAAGCACGAACGTTCCTTTGTGGCGAAATGGCAATGGCAGGTCGCTGATCACACAGCTCAACGCTCAAACAAGAACCCATGCCTCTCTTTTTTCCTATGAATCATAAAAAATAAATAAACAGGTCCATATAGCCCTGTGTCCAGTAGATTCTCTCCCGTGCTCAACAAAATACTCACACATTGGCCATTGCTACGCGACGCTCTACATGCATTTGGAAACGTTCTTGACTCAATACGTTCAAAAATGTTGGGCTCGTCCGAATGCACATAGTCGAGAAAACGTCCGAGTGCATGTAGAGTGTTGTGTAGTGGAGCGATGCCCATTTGCTGTCTCACAAATGGCCCACAACCGTCCGCCGGGCATGTCTCGACCCTGACACTGACCTGGAAGGTGCTTTCGAAGACGTTTGTGCGAGGCCTGAGGCATGCGCAGTGGACGGTTTTGAGCGTTTTGACTGGACCGTTTGCTTGTGAAAAAGGACCACGAAGGGCACCGCAGACCCAAGTCGGGGCCCGTTCAGTTGGCGTCCAGGAGGTCCAAGGTTCAATCCCCATTGGCCTTATGCAATGTGTATGGTCTGGGCTCCCCCTCCTCCACACCACCTTTCCCCCCATGCAATCTGAGGGGGGGGTGCCCGGGTCAAGTGCTAAGACACTGATCGAAAATTGTGCTACTACAAGCCATCTGATCCACGGCCCCAGGCTGCGCCACCATCTAGCAGTCTTGGGTGAGTATTTCCTTAGCCTTTAGAATTCCTAAATGTGTTCGGCCGCTGATATAGCCGGGCCGGATGAATCTGACCATCGTCACCTGCAAAAGTGGAGCTCGGCTCTGTGTTTCAACTGTTCATGGGTATATATATATACCTAAGAAAGACCGAGGCCTGTGCCACAGCTTCACACATAACTGAAGCTTGACCCTTGTCTGGTACTTGCACAGCCTCCCCCGGGCCAAGTCCCACTTACCCGAAATCTCAATTTCCGACCATAGATTAGGAAGATCGACGGCCAAGAATGAAAGATCAGCGTAATTGGGACTTGGCCCCCGTACGCGCGTCTCCGGGCCTTGTCCCCCCCCTTCGCCCGCGTTTCGCAGTGCCTGGGCTTTTCTTCGACCAGATTCGGAATCACCTGCGCACTGCCGACGTCAGCCTGCCCTTGGCTCCGCTATCAGTTTTTTGTGAGAATTCCTTCCTACCGTGGGAGGAGGAGGGACGATCCCGCCGTGGGGTGCCAGCAGATAGATGGCGCATTCGCTTCGCTACCGGAAGGGTTGATTTTTATTTATTAGGGGTTCCGATGGACTCTATGGGTTCGCCATTGAGCAGGTCGTGCCGGCGCATTCGCTGCTACCGGTAGCAGCTTATTACCACATTACCACAGTGGTCGCGCGCCCTCGGCCACTGCTTCCCATTTTGGCTTTTGTCTGGGCGACCGATTGGCTCAGAAGACGTGCCCATTTCGTTTCGTTTTCGGTCCCGTTGGTGTATCCATAGCCGAAGCCTTACTTCGTTGGCGTTTGCTTCAGGCAAGCAAGGAGGAGGAGAGAGGAGCAAACGACGAAGAGGAGCAAGCGAGGAGCAAGGTGGGAAGTATAAAAGATAAAAGATAAAAGATGGGGGAGTTGCAGGTCGCTCTGACGGCAGATTTTGGATACGTGATCTTGGCGACGGCATTCGCCATCTTGGCTCATCAATGGATGGGCATCCGAGTAGGCAAGGCGCGCAAAGAGTACGTACTGTACTTTACAGTTCTGTGATTGCCATTCTCCCAATCCCAATCCCAATCAGTTTGCTTCCAATCACGGGCCTCGCTCCATTACTCACACAAACAAATGTGCAAAATGAGAACGAAAATCTTGCGCTAGGACGTTGGAAGATACACCGCCGCCGCCGCCACGTTTTTTTGGTTGTTTTTGCATGTGGTCTCCGCCACGTTTTTTTGTTTTTTTTTGCATGTGGTTTCTGATTGCCATTCTCCCAATCAGTTTCCTTCCAATCACGGGCCTCGATCCACTACACTCGCCAAATGTGCAAAACGAGGAACGAATCTTCTGCTAGAACAAGGGAAGATACACCGTCTTTTTTTTTTTTTTTGTCTTTTGTGCATGTGGTCTCTGATTAAACGAGGAACGAGTCTTCCTCTAGAACAATGGAAGATACACCGCCTTTTTTTTTGTGTGTGTGTTTTGTGCATGTGGTCTCTGATTGCCATTGCCATTCTCCCAATCAGTTTCCTTCCAATCACGGGCCTCGCTCCATTACTCGCCAAACAAATGTGGCAAACTGAGAGCGAATCTTCCGCTAGAACATGGGTAGATACGCCGCCATATGTTTTGTCGTTTGTGCACGTGGTGAGTAGTGGAGCGAGGCCCCATCTCCCGCTAATCCCATCCTGTGCGCATCTTGAGCTGGAGGTCGATGAAAGAACCCATTTGTTCTCTTACCCCTCGGGACGTCCCTGCCCAGCTCTACTCCTCCGTGTTGAGGTCGCCCTCCTCCTCCTACCGAACTCTTTTCTCCATTGTAACCTCTCTCAGGGCATACTCACACTGCCACTTTTTCACTTAACTATTTCTGGACGTAATCGAGGTCAGATACATTCAGGTATGGCCGTAATTGCAGTCAGATGCATTTAGGAAATTACCATACCAGTGTGAGCATGTCCTCACGCTTCTTTCTTCAAGTCTCTGCGCGCTGTGAGAGAGTGTTCACACGAAACTTCACAGAACTGTCTCGGATTCATCGGAATGTGATGACACTCAGACCCCCCCCCCTGTCTTCATCACTCTATTGGACCGACACAGGACACACAGACAGAGAGCATGGCACGGTCGTGATCAGGGTGTGTTGTGTTTGGGGTAGACGGTAGCGGAAAGAAGTACCCTGTCGATCAAAAGCAAAGGAGTCCTGCGAAAGTGCGAAGGGCTAAAAAAAAAAGGGAAGGGTTAACTTCGGCGCAGTCACGAAAACAGTTTGAAAATGCACTTCAGGCATTGCCCCGAACACAACACACCCCCACGTGACCCCACCCGACCCGAAACCTAGGTTATATACATTCACCATTACAGGCCCTTTTGCCTCAACAAGTGCATTTTCAAACTCAAACCCTGACTGCGCCGTAGTTTTCTCAAAATGGAGGGGGAAGTAGAAAAAGGTCGGAGGGCTGTGCTACCGGCTTAGAGTGAATGGAACGCAAAAAGCAAAACAAGTCTCTGAGAACATTATGTAACATGCTTTGCCTGCCTGGTAAGGATTCCCCTGTTGCGCTCTCTTCCCTTCCTCAGGAAGGAAGGAAGGAAGGAAGGAACACAGAGAGGTCGACGAATCTTCCGCTAGAACAATGGATAGGGAAGACGAATCTTCCGGTACAGCCAAGATAAGGGTGCGTTGTGTTCGGGGGAAGACGGTAGGCCCGTTGGTTGAAACTGTTTTTTTTTGTTTTTTTTTTGATGTGTGTGCTGGAGGACAGTACATCTGGCCCGTTGGTTGGAACTTCTTCCTTTTTTTTTTTTTTGGCTGTTTTTTTTTTTTTTTCGTCTTTTGCGGATCTCATGCTTCACGCTATCATCGATGGCGGCGGCGACCGTTCAGCTTTGGAATTATCGGGTTTGGAAATTCAGGATTTTATGAAGATGGGAATTCATCTTTCCATCTGCACAAATAAAAACTAATATACTAATATGCATCATGGACAACGGGAATAATAAGCCGCAGAATATGAAAATCCAGTTTCGACCAATGAGCCTCAAAAAAAAAAAACAGAAAAAAAAAAAGCCTTTTTGTAGCTTGGTTGGTCCACCAATGAACTGCTGAAATACAGACCTGCGTTCGAATCCAGATGGACCTGGACCTAATAGGTGTATGTATGCAATGAAAAAAACGATTATGAATTAATTACCTGGGGCTGGTCAACTCGATGATGATATCTCAAGGCCGTCGCCCTTTCTAGAAGAAAAAAGGAGAAAAAAAAAAATCCAGTTTCTTAAGCGAACAATGGCTTGTCCGTGGCGCATCATTTTATGATTATTAATAGGGAAAATTGTTGAAATACTCCTGAAAGTTGGGGTATTTCGTCAGATACCCCTAAAACACGGGTACGCGCCGAAATGCCTCAAACTTCTGCATCTGCCCCCGTCCCACTCATCAGCAACTTTGCCATATGCCCTGGCCCTGGGCTGCGGAGGCCCGTGCATTTCTTTTTTGCCATCGGCAGAGTCCAACGGCCAGAAATACCGGGGCAGATAGACAAGTTGCCCAGGGCCCAGTAGGGGTATATATGCAAAAGATAGCAGGTCCAATTGGGGAGGGGTATTTCGCAAAGTTTCCCACGTGTCATAGGGGCATGTCGCCATTCCCATGCCTTTCAGGAGTATCTAACGAAATAGCCCAACTTTCAGGGGCATTTTAACAATTTCCCCTTATTATTATTAGTATTATTACTATTATGGACAACGTGAATGACGGAGGTTAGTCCGCGGAATGTATTATGGTATTATGCTATTGAAGATTGGGCGGCAAAGCCGAATCTGGTCAGCGTTCCGCAGACCGGTCCATTCATTTGTCCATCTTCTTAGTAATGTATTATAGTCTTATTATGTTATCGAAGAGTGGGCGGCAAATCCGAATCTGGTCAGCATTCCGCAGACCGGTCCATTCATTCGTCCATCTTCTTAATGTATTATAGTATTACTGTATGTTATCGAAGAGTGGGCGGCAAATCCGAATCTGGTCAGCGTTCCGCAGACCGGTCCATTCATTCGTCCATCTTCTTAATAATGTATTATAGNCTGGTCAGCGTTCCGCAGACCGGTCCATTCATTCGTCCATCTTCTTAATAATGTATTATAGTATTATTATGTTATCGAAGAGTGGGCGGCAAATCTGAATCTGGTCAGCGTTCCGCAGACCGGTCCATTCATTGCCTATAAAAGAAACTGTTTACTTCTCTTCTTCGCATTTAACAAAATTGCTGCATAGAAGAAGGCATCTCCACTATAGGTGCACCTGGCCCGGAAAGTGATCTGTATACAGCTGCACAGACCATTCCTCCGTTTCTGGGAGTGATACCAGGCTCGGAGGTAATGTTGAAGTTATGCTGGCCTTGCATACGACGAAACAGCATCAATTTTTTTTCGTACTCAAATTTTACAGCATAGAAGGACGCCGTAAATTTTTTTTTTTTGCTTTCCCATCTTCTACTTCGCCGTAAGGTGTCCTTACCTGGGGCCAAATCCCACAAGCAGCGTTGAGTTTCCTCAACGCCTGAATCTGGTCGTTTTTGTGGAGATGTGCAGTAATCGCATTGAGTTTTCTCAACTGCACGTCTCCACAAACACGTCCAGATTCAGGCGTTGAGGAAACTCAACGCTGCTTGCCCCTGCTAAAGACGGAGTAGCTTTCTGCACTTACTGTACACGTTAGCGAAAGGAAAATTACAAAAGAATCTTCTTGCGAAGCTACCGGTAGGCTACCAGAGTGGCCCGGCACCACTTGCCCGGCCGGACCAAAAAAACAACAAAATAAAAATATTTTTTAATTTTATTCTTTATTTCAAATTTTCGATGTGACCCTGAGGCAAAATTGTTCAGTTTATTTTTCTGCATAGAATTTTTTTTTTAAGATTATTTTTAAAGATTTTTTTTGAGATTTTTTTTTAAAGATTTTTTTTTAGATTTTTTTTTTAGATTTTTTTTTTAGATTTTTTTTTTAGATTTTTTCTTTAGATTTTTTTTAGATTTTTTTTAGATTTTTTTTTTTTGCTGGGCACCTCCCTTGGTGCGTGCACGGCCGGGCCGCCCAGGTCACAGCCGCCCGGGCAAACAAAATGACCCGGGCGGCCCGGCTGGTAGCTCGCTACTGTCTTTTTTTCTTTTTTTTTTAATGGAGCGCATCAAGTGCCGAGCCGCACACAGAAGACTGCGGTACACATACTGTTACGCGTTAGCAAAAAGGAAAATTGCGACGACAAACAAAAGAATTACCTGCTGATGTCTTTTTCTGTGTTCTATACACGTCAACCTACCGTAGTTGGAGGTTGGAGTCCATCAACCGTAGTAAAAGAAAACAAAGAAGGCTTTCGTGTTTTGTTTCTAGAAGGTCTCTCTCTGCCGTGACATCTCTATAAGGTGTTGGACGGTACAACAAGATGGATGGTCTGTCTCTGCACGGGCTCTCTCTTGCACGGTCTCTCTCTGCCGTGACATCTCTCTAAGGTTCATGGTACAACAAGATTGACGACTTACAGTGGCAGGGGGTACGTAGGGGTCTTATCTACAATGAACGTGGTCACAAAGCAGAAAGGGAAAAAAAATAGAGGAGAGATCTTGGGGGACGTTTGTTTACGTAGGGGTTCTTTCCTTCCGGCGAAACTGTTTCAAAGGTTGTAGGGAAACCCCTACGTAAGCGTTTGAGCGGATTTGGCAGTTGTATATATAAGACGAAGAAGCAAAGTCAGCGCAGAGCCGCGTCTGACTCGTTCGCAAACACATAACCAAACATGCAAAGTCATGCACGGAAGGGCAGTATGTGAAAAGGAATCTCGAAACAAGTGGTCTTCTCAAAAAGACAGCGCACCGCGAGACCAGTTATAGCCAAGCTATGACTTCCTCATCCCCATCCTCGCCGCCAAGATACCCGTAATCCACCGGAAGATGAAGCCGATTGGCAGATCCCCTACTACTGCCACTACCGACTTCGCCCAGATAGAACGCTCGGTCATTATAGCTGTAT